GAGGACTGATAATAGGATGGTTAACTATTAGACAGCAGGTCTTACAGTATTGTTTGCCAATAATTTTTCTATATACATGTACTCCATGTTTAGCCTCTTGGCATCCCAATTGAATGACTGAGGGTAAAATGAGAAATGGGAATTTCACAAACCACAAGCCATGTGATGTCATTAGCCAGAGATCGGGAAGAGTTCCTTTTGTACCCGCTAACCCTACCTTCCAGCACTCCCCATTTAATTGTACATGCCCCTCCTAAGGACGTCTATAGTTATCTAGAGGGGGCATATACAAATGAATTGGGTAACTGTGAGTGTTAGGGACGGGCGGTACAAAAGGAACTCTTGCCCAGAGATCTTTATCTATTGACTGATAAAGCCCACTAGTTGTCGAGGCACACAAGGCAAAATTAGTAAACAATAAGTGCATCTCTTATAATTTATGCAAATCGTATGCATTAAGTTTCTTTGAACAGCAAAAATTCAATCTTTATGCAAATCAGGTAATTATTATGCACAGATTTCAACCAAAAACTCATCAGGTCTGTACATTATTTCATTCAAATTTAATGAGTGGTTTTTCAATGGGAACATGCATACAGGATAACCACAATGACTTCCAATACAAATTACAAAGTTAATCGGCAACACTTCCAGCAGCCCATGTACAAATGTATTGGACCACTACACAACATCTGCAAACACGACTACAGAATCACTTGCAAAAAGTGTTTATTTCTTAAAGCAGAATGTTTTACATCAATAAGGCAGGTATTGTCAGAAAATAAAACGTCAGGTACAAACAGGAGGAATTCACTTCCAACTTTTCCAATAATAATTATTGCATTTCAGCGTCCATAAATCAATATATAAAACAAAATATGACATATATATAATTTGGCCACAAAGATCCATACATCAAAATGTGAACATTCAAAATTAAAGACCAGTCTTAAAATATACAACTATATATTAGAGTAGATTTTTAGTCACAAACTGAATAGTAGATTCATCTACATTTTTAAAATGTTGTTTATTTCAGATCTTAAGTTATTACTTCTACATCTAAAATAGTTCACACTCATTACCCACAAGTTGCTGCCATCACATTCAGGTGTCATTATACATCAAAATATGCAAATAAGATATAAATTATCAGAGGTGATGGAACCTTCTCAAGGTTGTAAAGACAGAATACAATTGTGTTTCACGTCTACAAGACCTGCTTCAATGAAATATATTATACCAACATTTCAATTGCCTGTCTAAGCATATGTTATTTTGATTGGTTGAGGGTGCAATTGTAATCATGCAAGCCATGATTAAATATATGATATACCACATTTGTTTTCATGTTTAGAAGTAGACCCCAAAGATGCACAACACAAAAATTGGTAGAAATATTAATATTTTGTGCCACGGATGTATTTTGGGTTCAAAAAAGAGAATGAACTGAAAATAGTTTTACCGAAATATACAAACCAAGCAACAAAAAAATAATCTAGCATACAACACCAATTGGTGTGTATATTAGATTTAATATATGCGGCATTGGTTCTAAACGAAAGTACATGTCATTGTATAAACCATGTAATGCTGATTTGTGAATGTGCACCACTGATCGGTGTATAATCCAAGGGCATTTCATTTAACCACAGTTGCAAATAGAGTACTTCAGATAATCAAAATTTATTTCTGTGTTTCAGAATTAGTTTTAAAATAAAGTTGGTATACTATAATAGGAATACTTCCCCCACATTCAATTTTGATTAGTACACTCCATATACATGCATACATGTACTTGTGAAACTGGTGAAAATCTTGTTGGGGTGTGTATTATTACACAAATAATCATAAAACAAGCTGCCTAAATTGTCCTAAAAGCTCAAGTTTCAAACTGCATGTCACAAGAAAATTATTTGTAGAGGTAATTATGAATGTCGTCTGTGGCAGATTTTAGAGAAATAGCATTTAGAAAGTACAAGTTGTGTCAGAATCATAGTTGGTTCAATAGCAAACTAAACTGAACAGCCATTTTGAAACTTAAAACAAATACATGACATAATGTGTGCATTCATCAACAAAATGACCACCTGGCAGCCATTTTGAAGCTGATCTAAAAAACAAAATGACCACCTGGCAGCCATTTTGAAGCTGATCTAAAAAACAAAATGACTTTCAAGGTTTCATAATGTCCATTTAACTTATAAAGTTTGCAGAAGTCGACACGACCTGAATCCAGTTCTGAAATGGCCTGCCATATGGCCATCAAATAGTGAAATGAATGTCAATGCACCTAATATGTTTAGGTGAGATTGGGTCAGGCATGTCCAAGATACAAGTAAAGAGAGACACATACACACAGATCAACCCATGAGTCAATGTTTTAAGACTGTCTGAACTGAAACCTAAAAATACTTGTTATCATTGTGTTGATAGTCACTACCATGGACAATATCATGTTACAGTAGACAAGAAATGCATAGTATTCATTGCAAGAAAACGTATACATGTAGTATGTAAATTAGTGAATATCAGTTCTGATTGAAAAAACAACAACACTAAAATAGACACATTTCAAAACAAAACAAATTCAACATGAGACGCACATCATACTCGACAACAATAGTTTACAATACAAGATTACATTTAACTTCACAAACACCAAAATGCACAACAATTTACAATAAAAATAAAAATAAAAAACATGCAAGCTGTTTAAACATCAAAAATAGCAATACAAATTGACAAGCATACTGTACAAGAGATAGTTGTATACCATCACCAGCACCATTCTGTGTTACCCTAAACATCTACACTGTTTGTAACACAGGTAGGTAGAATGAAAACTTATCATCGCTAAACGAGATCCGCTCAAGATACAACACCACAATGGTGAGTATGAATGCTTGAATAATACTCCTAAAGAAGTTTTGAGCAAAAATAAATAAAAAATATCAAACTTTATAAAAGCAACATTATTGATAGAGAAAATGTCAATGTGACAGATGAACATGAAAAGCAAGAATCAAATCTCTCAAAACTACATCGTAAATTTTTCAATAAACATATTTGTAATTGTAACCTTACTTCAGCTGTAAAATGTAAATATTAAATAAATTATCACAGAGGGCGCTGTTCTACACCAGGCAGTTCAGTTAAAGGCATACAAAATAAGTTTATTTCTTAACAGCATAACCTGGTAAACAGCTTGTTACAGCATAATTTATTTATCCCTGTAATTGTGAAATACACGACTATAGCTCCCCCTTCTGATCCAGCGTATGTAGTACAAAGTGTCTGTGGTTGTTAGTATCTGTTAACACACACAATTATTTTCAGTCAATCATTTTGACCATCATCTAGAAAGCTGTTGTTCATTATAAAAAGTGAGTAATATATAAAATTATACAAAACAATTATCAGTGTTTTTATCTATATACATAATTGTTTTGTCATCTCTACTGTGCATATAGGATGTGGCTGACATGGAAGAATTCCAAATGTATAACAAAAAATTACTACCTCATTTAAAACATAATAAATGATATGTTAATTTATTAAACATTTGCAACAACAATCTGTACCTCATCCAAGATCTGGTTCAGGATATGTACGTAATTTTATTGTTTGAAATTGTCATCAGTCAGCCATCATTGATTGGTTGATCAAAATTATTCCATGTCTTAGTATGTATAAAGTTTGAAGTGAAAAAAATCTTAAATGTTGGCTACGTTCAGTTGAATTTACAAACAGAAATGTGCATCATCTACGTTCAATGATTAATCCTTCTACAATGTTTTCAGACAATCAGGAAACGCATGCCAGAGATCTGGTTCAGGACATGTCAAAATACCCAATTTTGGTGCATTTTTACGACTAAAAGTGGCCACCAATCAGCCATCTTTGATCAAATCACAGAATTATTGCATGTGCAAATATTTCAGTCAAGAAGAAGTCAAGCCTAACAGCATATGATACTTTCATATAAAAAGTTTCACAAAAAGGGAATGTAATTTGCATATTACGTCATATAAATATGACATCCCAGGAACTGAAAATGATTTCATCTATAATACTGATGTGAATTAGTTCAAATTTTCACTGTGTATATTACTCATGTGTATAATTATAATAATAGGAATTAGAATTAGAATGTTGCAAAGACACAAAAAACAACTATTTTGGTCCCTAGTTGTTATATATAGCCTGTATAAAATATGAAGAAATGAGGATTATTTCAGTTCTATTGCCATGGCAAATATATTATATGAATGAGTGGTACCAGTATGCTGCCATGTTCTAAACTTTCTACCAATATAAAGTCCTACTGTGGAAGTTATTGATGAAATCATTTTCTCAATTTTTCAGTGGCTATGATGTCATACTTTATGCAAAGTCTTTTGCTGAAGAATCAAGTTAGTGGACTAGATATACTGATAAAAAGTTGGATATCTAAAGAATTAAAAGTGATAAAAATAAAACTGTAAATTACATTCTCTTGCATTCATGGAGCTCTTTCAACTGGGATAATTATGTTGTTAGCCTAGATTTCCTTTTTCAGTATGTGGGATATTTGAAAAGAATAGGTCCAGGGGTGTTCGATACAGCTATAGATGGTTGCACACTGAGGACTAAACAATATGCCCCTGTTTATAACCTCGTCCAATAAGGACCAACAATTTCTTGTCTAAAAACAACCTTGACATGGCAAGGTTTAGAGCAATCTATTCTGCATATATAAATGCAAATAACAAACCAGGATAAAGCCTATAAGTTATATATACGTTCATGTCAAATGAACTAAGAAAAGCTCTCTTTGTTTATTGCATTCAACATTATGGGTATTGCTGGTCATGTGACACAACAAATGTCATCTTCATAGCAAATCAAAAAAAAAAAAAGTCAGCTTGCAATCTCTTCACATCATTTCAATTGCATTAAAGAGGCAAGGCAATTTGGGTAGATGGGGCGGGGGGGGGATTCAATCACAAAGACCTCCTTTAAAGAGATTTCGTTTTGATACTACTTTTTAACAGACTTATTTTCTTTTTCTTTTTCTTCTTTTCCTCATTTTCCAAACTATCTGAGCTATCATCAGCTTCATTGAAGTCATCCAAAGCTGGACCATGTTTCTTGAACCAGCCTAATAGAGAAACAAATCAAGGCTGCAGTCAATGCCAATAAAATAGCTGTTATGTTATTAAAGTGGTGAGTATTATGTTGCCATACAATGCAATTGCCATCATTTCTGTTATGAGAGACAGGGGCACACACACACCATACAATATAATTGCCATCATTTCTGTTATGAGAGACAGGGGCACACACACCATACAATGCAATTGCCATCATTTCTGTTATGAGAGACAGGGGCACACACACCATATAATGCAATTGCCATCTTGTCTGCTATGAGAGACAGGGACACAC